TGATGGTCATGATGTTGATGATGTTGATGACGATCGTGGCAAGCATTACAACTGAGACTGATGAAAGTGTTGCGGCTGTCTACGAGATTGAGATGAAGAACCCTAGCTTCGTCAGGCGGTCGACGGGGTAGCTCCGCTAAGGCGAAGAAGGAATGACCATGCAGTCACTCACATGTCGACATGGACGCCGCGACAGCAGCATAGATGGTGAAGAGCATGACGATGCTAGGATGACCCAAGGGATGAATGTAAAGGTACATATTAAGATGCAGATGCACCTGCTTGTGCCATTTTTGGGGACCGGTCTTGTGAAAGAACCTGAACCCATGCATCTTTTAACTATGGGATCGAATCATTCTACTGATCGGGGCCTGGCGCTATATGTATATTTGACACGATATTATATCATGACTCAAGAACCCCCTCCTCCATAATGTAAGAGTAGTTTCCGATGTAGGTGTGTTTACGCCAGGTGTAATCTCTCCAACCTTTGTGGGTGTAAGTTGGACCTCAGAAGAAACCTGAACTCATAGGATCCGCACTCGAGAATCCGTTCGGAATCAATCAGGGTTTAGGGTTTGGGGTTTAGGGTTTTACAAAGACCTCATCAAGCCTTGTCGAATTCCCAGTGGAGTCCTGACGCCTAAGCACCAGCGACCAGGAGCAGCAAATGAAGATCGCGATGCATTGCACCTACATGGCTTCACGCAGGCCGAATCAAGCATTCAGGGAGGAGACAGCTGAAACACGTAGGCCCCAATAGATTGCCTCAAACTTTATTAAGCCTATACCCTCTTCTGGCGTCTGTTGTCTTTGAGGGCGTTTAGAGGTCAGGATTCGACGCAACAAGGCTTGCTTGGTGCTTGAGGTGTAGGACTTGGTGGCTGCGCACCTTCTGCACCTAGCCACGTCTGCAATCGTACGGATAAACCCCCCGAACGCTACAACCCCAAAAGCAAAGCCACATAATCTAGGGCCCTTATAATTAGACTAGGGTTTCGGGGCACATTATACTATAATCATAATATGGAACCTCCCAAAATCATAGTATTGGTAATTATTAAGGCCGCAACATTAACCCTCAATCCTGAACCCTTCCAGCCCCCTATACCCTAAACCCTAAACTCCGAAACCCTAAACCCTAAACCCTTGAACCTAAACCCTAAACCCTAGACCCTAAACCCTTAACCCCTAAACCCTATAGTACCCTTTAAGGGATCCCTATAGTACCCTTTAAAGGAACCCTAAACCCAAAAGCCCCGAAGTCCCCCAAACCCTTTACCACCCCCCTTTTCTGGGGTCCTTCTGCTGGCCCAGGACATCGAAAGCTGGTCGTTTCATTCGAAATCTTCGGGAGACCGGGGCTTCGGATAAACACTTCGGGCTTAGGTTGAAGGGTTTTGGGTTTTAGGTTTTAGGGTTTAGGTTGAGGGGTTTGGGTTTTAGGGTTTAGGTTTTCGGGTTTTGGGGTTTAGGGTTTCGGGTTTAGGGTTGTTTTGGGGTTTAGGGTTTTGGGTTTAGGGTGGTCTAGAATTTGCGGGTTTAGGGCTTAGGGTGGTTTAGGGTTTGAGGATTTAGGGTTTAGGCCTTAGGGTTTGGTGTTTCAGGTTTAGGGTTTAGTTGTGGCGGGGGTTTCAGTAGGGCTTTGGGAGATAGATTCTAGGGTTCGGGTTTGAGGGGCTTAGGGGTTTAGGGCAGATTGTGGTGTCAGATGTAGGGTTCAGGATTCCTTTGTTGTGGGCGTCTAGGGGTCGGTTTAGGGTTTAGGGTTTAGGGTGAAGGGGGAGTATTCGGGGGTTTTGGTTTTCGGGCTTAGGGTTTGCTTGGAATTTGTTGGCCTCAGGTTGCTCAGTGTCTCCACTTGCAGGTTCATGCGTATTACAAGTGGGTTATAAGCAGGGTAGCTGTGATTAGAACCCATATTAGGGGACTTATAACCCCAGCTGTAACCTAAAACTACCCGTGGACCTCGAAGCAGAGTTGTTGAAGATTTGTCATTTTTCACAATTTACCCTAAGCCCTGCACCCGAAACCAGCTGTTCGTCGTCTTGGGGTTTCTGAGTTCGGGTGTTGACCTCAAGATATGGCAGGCTTCGGACTTGGAGTGTTGGGTCTTGTTGAGTTCGTTTTGGGGTCCAGAGCTTTATCCTTTGCCAGCAGTTTCCGAAGAAAACGGCGCACAAACTTGCAGGCAGAGGTTTCACTTAGGCTTGGGTTTTGGGTTTTGGGTCTGGTACTTTATTATTGGATCCTTAAGGGAGGGTGGCTCAAGGGGGAGGGTCCTAGGGAGCTTTAGGGAACCTAAGGGAGTACTAGGGAGAATTGGGGATTACTGGGTTATATACCCCCCCCCCTAGAACCCCCTCCCTTAAGGATTCCATAAGTTTAGGGACTACCTCGTTTTCGAGCCGTCGACAGTCGACACCCTCCCTAAACCCTAAACCCTAAACCCCTAAACCCTAAACCCTAAACATCCCTAAACCCTAAACCCTAAACCCTAAACCCTAAACATCCCTAAACCCTAAACCCTAAAGCACGAATCCGACCAGGAGAATGCAGTCGAGCAGAAGCTCCTTCGGCCCTCTCTCTCGGCCGCTGGTTCAGGCTTTCACGGGCTGAGCAGCCGGGGAAGGGCGTAAATTTCATTGGGCTTGTAAGGGTTTTGGGTTATTGGTTTAGGGTTCGGGGGTTTATGGGGTTACGGGTTTAGGGTTTAGGGTTTAGGGTTTAGGGGCTTGTAATGGCAGTATTCCCAGAGACTCCCCAAACCCCTTAATGAAAGGAATAAGCCGTAAACTATAATATGAACCCCACCATGATTTAAGGTATAATCCTGAACTACGGGGTTTTGGAGTCTCTGCGTCATTAGTGTTATAGGCTTGTGATGGCCTTCAGGATGGAAATGGGAGGTAAACCCTAAGCCTTGCCCCTTGCACCGTTTCAGGTGTTTTCGTGGGCGATATGTAAAGCCCTAAACTCTAAACCCCAAACCCCTAAAGCCCCTAAACCCTAAACCATAAACCCCAAACCCCTAGCTAGGATTTAGGTGCTAAACCCTAAATTTAAAAGTTGTTCTCTCCGGGACTTTCTGTGTGAACGTTGGCCCCGGGATCCTCGGATCTACAGGGGTTAAGGGTCAAATGGTTTGGGGTTTGGGGTTTGAGGGTTTGGGGTTTAAGGGTTTGGGGTTTAAGGGTTTGGGGTTTCAGGGTTTGGGGTTTAAGCGTTTGGGGTTTAAGGGTTTGGGGTTTAAGGGTTTGGGGCTTTAAGGGTTTAGGGTTCAAGGATGTTGGGTTAAATGGTTTAGGGTTAAAGGGTCTGGGGTTTAAGGGTTTGGGGTTTTAAGGGTTTAGGGTTTCAGGGTTTGGGGTCTGAGGGGGAGGGGTTAGGGTTGGCGGGTTTAGGGCTTAGGGCTTGAGATTTAAAGTAAGGGTTATCAGAAGCTTATAAGCACAGTTACCTTATCCACAGTTTGGGACACCTATGTGGAGGATCTGGGTATTGTTAACGTGCGGTCGTAAGCACCCTGATTGGGGTTCTAAGTACCCCAACCCTATACCCCAACCCTAAACCCTAAACCCCTAAACCCTAAACCCTAAACCCTAAACCCTAAAACCCTAAACCCTATACCCCAACCCTAAACCCTAAACCCCCTAACCCTTAACTGTGGCTCTGTCAAAACCTCGGTCTCCCGGTGGGCCCCCTTTTTCCTTTTTTAAAGTCGTAGGCTCCTTACAAAGGGAACCCTTTCAAATCCCAGGTTACTGGGCATCCTAGCTGAGGGTTCAGAGTTTTAGGGTTTAGGGCTTAGGGTTTAGGGTTTAGGGTTTTAGGGTTTAGGGTTGAGGGCTTAGGGCTTAGGGCTTAGGGTTTAGGGTTTAGGGTATGGTGGATCATGGGGCTTTGGTTGTAAAGGCCACAAGTGCCCTGATGGCTACCAGCAGCAGTGTAATAAGTCCGCTGCCATCTTGCCGGTGCTTTGGTAAGATTCCCCTAGACCCTACTTCTAGGACATTTTCAGCTATAGGAGCCTTATAGAAGGTCTATATACCTTATAGAAGCCTTCTAGAAGCCCTATATACCCTAAACTCCCCCCTGTTGTTCCCTTTATCTACTTGAAGGATCCTGGGGCTTAGTAGCTAGGGTTATGAATGAGGTAACTGCAGTTATGAATACCTATAACCCCACGACATAAGCTTGAAGGTACTTGTAACAGTATATACTAACTAATCCCCATGATCCTGCAGTATATACTAATGAATCCCCATGAACCCTAAACCCTAAACCCTAAACCCTAAATCCCCATGATCCTGCAAATAAACCTTTCCAGTTAGCCCCAAAGCCCGGATGCAAAGCCATACCTTAGGCCCCTACACTAAATCTAGGACATTTTCAGGCGGGTAGCTAAAATTATAGGAGCCTTACAGAAGGTCTATATACCTTATGGAAGCCTTATAAGCCCCATATACCCTAAACTCCCCACCTGTAGTTTCCTTTAACTGCATGTTCTCGTGGCGTAGGTGGCATGGACGAGCATGAGTTCGACGTCGAACCTGCCCCGGCGCCTGACAGAATGCTGGACGAGGCTTCCTTTCTTCACAGCATTTTTGGGTTGATTATTTGCAGGGTGTCCTGTAATTCTTGGGGTACAGGGTTTCTGTTGTTGTTTTACGTCGGGAGGTTAAAGATTGTATACAGGTTTAGAGGAGTGTTGTTGTTGAGGGTCGTGGGATGCCTTCCATAGTGACCCCGCGTCAATAATCATGCTACAATTGGCTACAATGATACAGCGAGACTAACTTTCTTGGTAAATGTTCCGACCTCCAAATTCGGCTTCTGTGTGGCGGTCCCCTCCTGCCAGAAACTCTCACCTATGTTGCAAGATCTAATACCCCAGACCCTAAACTCGTAAGCCCTAATCCCTAAACCATAACCGGGACCTTGTTGGCTACAACTTCACATTTTTGCTATAGCAAAACCCAATATTGGATCAAAAACGATAATTTTCATATAGCCCCAACAGGGAACCAGGTAAGGGAGAGTGAGCAGCCGCCCCTAAAGTGGATCCCGCGCCTGGCCTGAAAGCCGCCTTCTTGGCAGATACGAGGGTGTCGAGCACAGGTCCCTACTGCCAGGTTTAGGGTTTGATAAGCCTCTACTATGGTGCAAGGACGGGAGCTTGAGGGGTTTAGGGTTTAGGGTTTAGGTTTGATCAGTTGTATATGTTTCTGTTTCGAACGCCCCGAAGCCCTAAACCTGCAAACCCGAAACTCTTAGCCCCAAAGGAACCCTGAAAGGAGCCCCTATAGATCCCTTGAAGGAACCCCTAAGGATCCTAAACCCCTAAAGGCCCTAAACCCTAAACCCTAAAGACCCTCAACCCCTAAAAGACCCTATACAAACCCTAAACCTAAAACCCTACGCCCTTTTCAAAAAACAAAGCAAAGCACAAACCACTCAAAGGCCCCAAGCCCACATTGCCTTAGCCCTAAACCCTAAACCCTAAACCCTAAACCTTAGCAGCCCGAGGTCTCTGAGCTGGCTGCTCAACTGGACAGGCTCTCCTGCACTCGCCAAGCCAATGAGGCGTTTAGGGTTTAGGGTTTAGGGTTTAGCCAGGGCACCTCCAATGAATAGCGGAAATACCACGAAGAATAGTAGTGATAACAACTAACCCTAAACCCTAAACCCCAAACCCTGAACCCTATGGATATATATATATATATATAATTGAAAAAGGGATCTACAAGGGTTGTGTATGGGCTTAAGGTTTTTTTGGACCCGTAGACTCCAAAACCCCTAAGTCAAGGATCATACCTTCAAACTATCCTAGGAACCCTACTTGGAGGTTCATGGGTAGTTATAAGTCGGAATATAAGTAGGCAGCTGTAGTTATATATAACCCATATTAAGGGATTTATAACCCCATTTATAACTACCCATGAACCTCCAAGTAATGTGATTCAAGCTTCATTCCTGAAATCTTAGGAGTGAGAACCTCCAAGTAATGTGATTCAAGCTTCATTCCTGAAATCTTAGGAGTTTTGAAGGACCCTGAACCCTAAACCCGTGATGAAAGCGGCTTTGTGGGCCAGCTTGGTCTTTGTAGCAAGGCAGAGGTCAGTGTGGCAGGGCTTTTTGGAGTTTTAGGAATCTTTGGGCTTTGGGTTTTGGTTGTTTGAGTTTAGGCCTTAATGGGATTAGGGTTTAGGGTTTTTTCAGGGTGTAGGGTGTTTCAGCGGCTCAGGGTTAAGGGTTGGTTGGCTTTCGGATTATGCGAAGCAGCAATGAGTATACATCTTCAGGTAGACAGCCAGCCAGCGAGCCAAGGCAGAGAGGCAGGCAGGCAGGCTGACTGCAGAGACGGACAACAGGCGGACAGAAAGACGGACAGATGTATAAATATACAAATATATGTAGAAGCGCGCACACACACACACATGAGCTTGTTCATAGAGATCTGGTCATTGCTCAGGGTTTTAGGGCTTTCGGGGCTCAGGGCTTTCAGAACATGGTTAATCGCAAGCATTCCCAAATCTGAAACAAGGCGATCGTCAACATTTCTGAGTCGATCAGCGCCTGTGCCTTTGGCGACAAATTCGCATGGTGCCTAGCGCAGACTGGGTCAGAGGAGCCATGTCCTAAATCCCTAAGTTTCGTCGATTTGTGAAGGGCTTTAGGCTTAGAGTTAGATTTAGGGTTTAGGGTTTAGCTTTTAGGGAGTTCAGAATTATCGAAGCATAACGTCAAGAGGCCTGCCCACTGGTTGAGAGCCACGTTGTGGCTCAGGACAACAGCTTCGCCTTAAAAGTCTATATCCGGGTTTAGGGTTTAGGGTTTAGGGTTTAGGGTATCCTTAAACCCTGAACTCTAAGAGTCGAATGTCCGAAGGCCAGACGTTTTAGTAATTTTTGATCATCGCATTAGTAGATTTTGGGGGGTTTCCGGAATGAGGGGAGACCCTAATATAGTACCGTAAATAGTAGGATCCTTATTATAAAAATGGGGGTACCCCAATTTTCGGAAACTCCCGTATAGTGAGACTAGAGACAGATGTAGGGTTTCGGGTCGAGGGTTTGCCTGATTGCACCCAGCGCTCGGCCCTGCTGCAAGCCGTTTAAGACAGAGTTTTTGTCAGGGCCTTACGCGGTTTTGCGGGGCTTTTGTCGGTGGTCTGAAGGTTTTTGCTGGGCTTTGGTTCCCCAAGATCTAGTGCTAAGTCCTAAGCCCCAAAAGTCTATTCCGTAAATCCAGAACTTCAGTTCCTATGCTGCAAGTTCTAAGCCAAGACTGACGAAGCATTCGACAAAATCCATCACACACACACACGCGGACGGATAAACAAACCCTAAACCCTTAATCCTGAAACCCTAAACCCTAAAACCCTAAAACAAACCCCTAAACCCTGAAGCCGAAGATCTCCGCGAGGAATGGGACTTAAACAAGCTGGACCCAGGTCTGTCAGACCCCGCCCGTTTACCCCAAATGCTAGTCGTGAACGCCACGACGACAGCTCCGCAACCCTAAGCCCTAGACCCTAAACTCCAAAACCCCTAAACTCCAAGCCCTAAGCCATGGCTCCCTAAACTCCAAAACCCCTAAACCCCTAAACCCTAAGCCCGGGACCCTAAACCCCAAAACCTAAAACCCTCTAAACCCTAAACTAAAAACCCTATAGTACCCTTTAAAGGAAGCCTAGGATCCCTTTTAGATCCCTTTAAAGGAAACCATAAGCCCCGGAAGGCACGGACCTTCTCAGTCGTTTGCACGCCACTGGCCTTGCACAGGCGCCCCCAGACAGAAATCCATCGTTGCTTTACTTTACGTACGGCTGATGGACAAAATCCTGCATGACCTTATATACCTAAACTATGGGATTTATGGTACTATACTATATTTGGGTCATGCAGGACTTTGTCCATCAACAGTAGTATTATTAGGGTACCCCTTAAAGGGTACCCCTTCTGAACCCTACTTTTGGCTCTCTTGAAAGGGACCTTATTGAGAGGGTCTATATCCCCAAGGGTCCCCCTAATCATAGCTCCCATACTTAGGTCTCAGGACCCTAAACCCTAAAACCCTAAACCCCCAAACCGTGGCGTCTCAGGCTCCTTTTTGGGTTTAGGGTTTAGGGGTGCCTGAAGGGTTCCTTTTTGGGCTGCGTTAAGGGTTGCTATGGATGGGGTTTAGGGTTGTATAGGGTTGAGGGTTCCTATAAGGGTCCTATAGGGATTTAGGACTGGGGTTGTGTAGGGTTTTTATAGGGTTTAGGCTCCGAGGGTTTTTTTGGAATTAGGGTTTCGAGGCTGTTTGGTGGAGATGGGGTGAGGTTTTACCTGGACCTAAGTCCTGAAAGGTTCTTCAGGGTCCAGGTATAGGCTCCGTGGTAGAACTTTCCAGGGCTGCGTAGGGGTTTCCTTTAGTAGCTGAAAGCTACACCTACCGAAGGTACTTTTGAACCCTACAGGGGTGGCTTATTTGGGTTTGCACTGATGATCTCATTCTCAAGCCATTGCAATACAAAATACAAGAGCCTGAAGACATGGTACTGTGTCTTTGAGTTCCAAAACCTAGTCCTGTTTCAAGGATCCACTACTTATGAAGCCCCCTACATTACAATTGGCCTGGAGGACGCCCGAGGGGCTCTTTTTGCTGAAACTCCCTCGTGATTAGGGTTTAGGGTTTAGGGATTAGCTTGTCAAACGTGTTAATGTACTTCCTCTTTAGCGACTCCTCTATTAACTGTACAGCTCACAATACACCAGACCCCCAGTCTTCTTGAGTAGCCACTGTATGAGTGTAGTCTAACCACTGTAGAAGCACGATATACTGCACACGCACACACCCTAAACCCTGAACCCCAAACCCTAAACCCTAAACCTAACCCTAAAGCCTAAAGTTGTTTTTGACTCATCGAACACGCTCTTGCAGCACGTGCAGGCACTTCACCTGGATCGCATTGCAGCGCCTGGGATTGTCAAGCCGCAACTACTTTAGAGGCCTAGATGATTACTAATACTATTTTGGTGGTTACTTATTATAGCTATAGTACATTATATTTATATGAACGCCCCTATACCCTTAACCCTTATGGTAGATCCCTTATAGAACCCCTTAAGGAACCTTTAAAGGAACCAAAAGAACCCTCTAAAGGAACCCCCAAAACCCTGTTCTAACTATTAAGGCCCCTACATTATTACGGTGTTTCTGAGATTTGGGTCGCCAGGCCCGGGGCTGTTCTCCTAGGTCGTACGGTTGATGGACAAAATCCTGCATGACCTTATATACCTCAACTATGGGGTTCATATACCTAAACTATGGGATTTANNGTCATGCAGGATTTTGTCCATCGACAGTATTAGGGAGACCCCCTGCAGTGTAGGGTTTAGGGGTTTAGAGGGGAACGGTTTAGGGTTTAGGGTTTAGGGTTAACGGTTTAGGGTTGGGTTTTACGGTGGGGCCCTTCTTAACCCTAGTTCTGAGGTTCTGGCTCTCTCAAAAAAGACCTTGTTGAGAGGGTCCACACCCCCAAGCGTCCCCCTTATCCTACCCAGAGACTCCAAAACCCCTTAATTAAAGAAAAAACCTTAGATCATATTAGGATTCCTATTAGAGTTTAAGTTTTGGAGTCTCTGAGTAACTCCCATTTACGGCTTGAAACTTGAGGCGGTAGAAGAGGGACTTGATTCTCGGGCTGGCCTTCTCCTTGTTGTCGTTGTTGCAATTGCCCGAGGGAGCCATGCGTGCGGATGCTTAGACAGAAGCTGGCGAGCTATAGAACTTTAGACACAACTATACTATGCTATGCTATACTATACTTTCCTGTATTGTAGTTCTATGCCACAGTCAACGTTTACTGGTTGATCTTTTTCCTCAAGCCTGCGCAAGCGGCATAAGGAAGACCTGCAGAACGCCCAAGACGGGCAGCTTCGGCGAGCAATGGATGACCCTGGTTTAGGGTTTAGGGTTTAAGGCTTAGGGTTTAGGTTGTAGGGTTTAGGGTTTAGGGCTAAGTCCACGCCCCGAAATCCCGAAACCTTTAACCCCCCATAAACCCCTAAACCCTAAACCCTACGATCCCTTTGCCGAACCCCTAAACCCTTATAAACCCCTATAAACCCCGAATCCCAACCCTTAACTAGTGACTTCCGCTTACTTCGCAAGCCCTTGGAGCCTTAACAGTCTTCATCGATTGTAGGGTTTAGGGTTTAGGGTCGATTTTCGACACGAATCGCTCCAGAAGCGCACTATAAGGGCCCAAATAGTTACCTATACTATTTTGGCGGTTCCCTGAAACATGGAACTAAGTGTTAATGACATCCCCTTATCGTCTATGCAGCTATACTACAGAATCTTCCAAACCGCTATTCTAATTGCTCAGGCACCTATGTTAGGAAGCTCGATCGCTGCATGACAGAAGTCGGAAATCTAATGGAAGATAGGCTAATATAGGGGCCTCAAAAATTAGAACAGGCTTTGGAAATGGGGTATTTCATGCCGCAAATACAGTAAGGAGCCGTGCATGAGAAACAGTAGCATTGGTTTTTTCAGGCTTGGACATAATCGGGATTCAAGGGACCTAATTTAACAAGGGTTCCAAGGACCTGAGTTAGGGTTCGGGGTTCGGTTGCGCAACCCTGAACCCTAAACCCCTAAACCCCATAATGTAGGAACCTGATTGAGAAACCCTGAGTCGTTATTAGGGTTCCTTGTATGAATCCTACTATTTTGGGGTTATGGGGCCAGGGTTTCTTATGTATGAATCCTACTATTTTGGGGTTATGGGGCCAGGGTTTCTTAATCAGGTTCCTACATTACGTAAGTCGCTATCAGCCATCAGTCGGGATGCTCTGTAGAAGCGCTGGTAGTGTGGGTCCCACGGGTTCAGGGATTCCTGCACCCCCAACTACCCTTCAACGGGTGGTATAGGGTTCCATATTCGTGGCGCCTTTTTTGCGATACTAGAGGGTTCTATAATCGGGTCCCCTTTCAAGGGATCTCTGATTCCTCATTTAGAGGTAGTTCGAGGCTACAAATAATAGTACTTGGGGGGCAGGGGTTTAGTCTTAAAGTTTAGCCTTCGGCCTTCAGAGTTTCATGATCATGATGTTCATGCAGATCATGGGAGCATACAGCCTTCTTTGTTCGCGGGGCCTAGAGAATTACTACAGAATTCTTCTTCTAGTCCGCAATGAGAACGGAGGTTGCAATCAGTAGCTGAGGAATATGGCAAATTCCACTGATACCATATACTCTGCAGTTCAGAGGCGTCTGTACGGTAACCAATGCAAGGTTTTTTGAGCACTGGGCGTGAAAAGCCGACAGCTTTGTTCCTGCAATACCTGCTGCAAAGATGTAATCATATAATCATATCCTGGGCTTTGGAGTACCATACTTTAATACTTTGTGTTTTGGACCTGTTCCTCAAAGGAACCGTTATGAAAAAAAGTCTATACTTTCTTCTCCCTGGTTACTTCAGAGCCCAGTATCTGTATTGGTTCACAAAATCTGCTCAACATGAACGTAGCGGCAAGCTCCTCCCAAACCACATAACATAGAGGCCTTGATAATTACCTATACCTTCTTTTTTTGAGGGGGGGGAGGGGGGGTCCTGATTAGAACTAAAGTGTAGTATATCTCAGAACCCTATTCTAACTGTTAAGGCCCCGACATGAATTAAGATTGAAGCAGCTCGCAATCGCCGTAAATCCCTGTGGCACCCCGTTCCACGTCCACCTACACAAGGCTTATGCTGAGAAAACCTTTGGCCGCATCTGTCTTGTCTGTAAGTATGCATGGTGGCAAGTTGCAAGTACTAGGTCCTTCAATCGCAGGTGTTTGCTCCGGCAAAAAAAGCCGAAACGCTTGGGCTGCTCGAAGTAGGGTGCAGATGCTCATGGGGCATTGGGCTCAGGTCTATCAGGTTTGAGAGCTAGGGTGCTTGGGGCTGACTGTTTCAAACCTAAGCCCCTATAGCTATCTCGAAGCTGCGAAGTCTGAACCATTAAACTGCAAGAAATGCGAATGCCAAGATAGCTTGCTTGTCAGGCAGCCCAAAGTGGAGAAGGAACACCGATATCCGGGATGAAGTTCAATTAGACTCCCGAACCCCAAACGTGGAACCTTAAAGATCGAAAAGCAACCAGGTATGGCGTGTCCAAGGCCCTGTTGCAAGAGCTGCAAGAGGACATCGCTCGCATGCGGAAGGCGATGGAGTTTCCAAGCTGCATTCGTTTTCGGTCTCGTTCCTGAACCCTAAACCCTAAACCTTACGGTTTCGGGACTTGAAGATATGGTTGAGGTTGCAGGGTTGCGAGTTCAGGGTTCAACATTCATTGCAAGGCTTCGGGCTAGATGTAGCTTTTACCCAGAGAGCGCAATAATCAATACCCTTCAACACAGGAATATAGCTTGAATTCTGCTGGCCTTAATATTAAGATTTAAGGCAGATATGCTTTAATTAAGGGGTATTGAGCTCTCTGGGGAGGCTCTTATAGATCCATTTACGGAGCCCTTAAAGGAACCCTCATAGATCCCTTCAAAGTTTCCCCTTCTAGATGCCTTAAGTTCGAAGGCTGAGTTGCAAGGAGGCAAATATGATGCTGGTTCAAGCGCGATTCGAGGTGTTGCCTAGTAACCCTAAGGGTCCAAGTGCCCATTATTTAGGGACCTTGAGGCCTTTTTGGGTACCTAAAACCATAAATAAGGACTACTTGGACCCTTAAGGTAAACGACTTGCATGGGGTGGGGCTTGCCTTTTTGGTTCGGGGGAGCTGCTCATGTGAAGCTTCTAGCTTCCATGACATGGGTTTAGGGTTTAGGGTTTAGGCTTAGGGTTTAGGGTTTTGCGTTTAGGGTTTAGGGTTTGGGTTGTGGGTTTAGGGTATCCTCCCTAAACCCTAAACCTTTGTTCCTAGGTCCATGCACATCGAACATACCGGAGACCTGGCTGGTATCTGCGGCCGGCAGAGCTCTGAGAAGCCCGAGATGGTCGCTGAGGGCATTTCGCCGGTCTTGCAGAGCCGCCGGGATTGAGGATTTTGGGTTTGGGGTTCAGGATTTCGGGTGTAGGATTCAGGGAATAGGGGGTAGGATGTAGGGTTTGGGGTTTGGGGGTTCAAGGATTCCTTCTACTGGTAGGGCTCCTGGGGTCTATGAGGGTTCTATGGGGATGTAGAGCGTAGAGGGGTCTAGTCTTTTGGGGGTTTAAACAGGGTTTATGAGGGTTGGGGTTGGGGGCTTATTTATGGGGGTCTCGGATATTCGGGCACCTCGTTTGGGGTCCTCATGCGCAGGATCGTATTTTCGGCGCGTCCCCGCTGTCCGAAACTGTCATAAAAAGGCCGAAGGTCGGTTGATGATATACATCCTGCATTACCCAGAAGAAGTTATATACCATAATTCCGATAGTTTAGGGTCCTTAAGGTCATGCAGGATTTATATGATCAACAGTACTGACTAGTAGAAGCACTATTGCTCTTATCAATGCATCCGTAGCATACAACTTTCCCCATACCCTACATAGTCTCATTGTTTTAATGAACCCTGAACCCTGAACGCTCGACCCTAAAAGCCTATGAGCCCAACCCCTCCAAAAAAAAACACAAGAATCATTGAACAATGCTACACCTGTTCCGAGGCCTTGAGCAGAAAACAATGTCCCTCCTCACTGGTGCGGACGATGTCCCGACCTTCGACGAGCTGGACGACGATGCCACGCGCTTGCTGGAGGAGGTCCGGCGACACTAAACCCTGAAGCCCTAAGGCCCTAACGCGGCCGTGACCCCCCAAAGCCTTAAAACACCCTAAGCACTGCAGACCTACAGCCTTAAAGCCCTAAAAACCCTAAACCCTGAAGCCCTCAACCCTTAAACCCTGAAGCCCTAAAAGCCTTAAAAGCCTATAGCCCTAAAAGCACTTAAACCCCAAACCCTGAAACCCTAAAGCCCTATCTGAAAGGTCGAGCGCGCCACAAGCAGCCGGGAGGCATCCACGCGCGTGCTGGTGGAGATCGAGCCCGACGACCAGGACGGTTTAGGGTCTAGGGTTGAGGGAGCCCAGTACTCTAACTGGACTTGGTAAATAGGGCTCAATAACCGGATCTATACGGATTCTATAAGGGTTCTTTAGGGTTACATAGAAGGTCACCGGACTTAGTAACTAGGGTTAGAACTGAGGAATAGACCTTGCAAAAGTTCCCAAAGCTTAGAAGGAAAGTTCAAGATCCGGGCAGCATGCAGCATCGTTTGGTCGCTTTTGTTGCAACTGCTATGGGTGTAGTTTTCTAAATTAGGGTCCATATTATAAGGGTGCCGTACTATTTTGGGGACCCAATAAGGAGCCCTAATTTAGAGAACTACCCATGAGTGTTCATGTTGCCATTACTTTCAGTTGCTGTTCTTCGCGTTGGTAGTCCGATTTCCATTACCGCGTTGCTGATCCTACTTCGCTTTTTCTTGTTCTGTCGCTGCTAGCGGTGCTACATCGACAGAGGCGACGGATATTGTCGGTGTGTCGCCGAGGGCCATAAACCACCCCCCCACCCCCCAACCCCAACCCCATTTCTTCCTCCCAAGCGCACAAAGCTAGGTCTTGAGAGTTGTGCAATCAGGTCCTGAACGCAGGGCTTACATGCATGCCCACGACTCAAAGTTAGCTTCCATGAAAGGCTCTGTGGGCACTTGCCAGGGTGTAGACACCCTAAGCTCCAGAAACCCTTTAAACCTAAACCCTCAACCCCTGGTTTAGGGTTTAGGGTTTAGGGCGCCTAAGTCGAAAATCCCGAACCCCGGGTTCACACCCCAGACAGAACCCAAACGCCAATTCCTGAATCCGGATCCTCGACCTTGAACCCTAAACCCTAAATCCTCGAGCCCTGGGCTCATGGAAGTTCGGATGAACCCAGGTAGCCCAATACATCTGAATTAAAAGAAGATACCTTAAGTTTTAGGGATATACACGGATTACAGGGGCCTTACTATTCCTTATCTACGGGGTATTTGTTTTTGTTGGGGAAGGTCTTGTTCTCCTAGAACATGACTGGCCTGAGCTTTTGCGAGCAAGTTCCTCTGCCAATAGCCCTGCACCCATGCCCTGACCCTTACCTCGAAAACGTGACCCCGAATTCTAAACCCTTTCACGGTGTAAGCTTTAGGGTTTAGAGTTTATGGAGCTTGTTTATGATTACAAGGGTTCTCTGTTGTGTTATGATAGCTGAGAGTGATGAGAACCCTAAACTTGTACGACCATCGTAAACCCATGTAACAGGCCCATCACAGCACATACAGGACTTTTATGAAACCCCATAAGACACTTTGATACCATGTAAAATCGAGCCTTCATCAGCCGCTTCTTCGAACCCAAAACCCAACAGGAAAGCACCACAACCTAAAAGATTCACTCCTAAACTTCTAGCCCCTAAACCCGAAACCCTAAATCCTAAACTTCCAACTCCTAAACCCTAAACCCTAAACTTCCATGGCTACGGCTCAAGCCATTTTGGCTCAAGGGCTTTCATAGACTTTGATGGTCTGACCTTTGCGTACCCGATCTTCCCCTTTGTCACCGCGAGTCTTCCTAAAGTCTTTGTCATGGAGCGGAGTTCGACGGAAATCATTGAAGACGATGACGATAAGGACCTTGAAGAAGAAGAGGACCCTGAGCTCCGAGAGGCTGGGCCCGGGGGAACCTCCAAGGACACAGCGGCCAGGGATGCGATGAACATCGATGATGTCGGGGGAAGCCCGGGGAGAGGAAAGCGAGCAAGGGATGCTGGCCTGCCTTCGAACTCTTCTGCTCCTGCTGGTCCTCGACGTGATCATCGACGAGAGCGCCGGGATGCTGACGGACCTACTGGGGATGATGTTCCGGTCACCTCGCGGGAGTTCAGGGCCCTCCTGAATGAGCACTTCCAGTCCATGACGGCCAACTGGGCGCAGATCTCTACACGACTTGGGGACGTCGAGAAAGATATGGTTGAGGACAGGAAGGTGCGGGCTGTTCTCTCCTCCAGGGTGACGCAGGTTGAGCGCAAGGAGGCGGACTTGGAAGTTAAGGTGCATCAGCTCTCCAAGGCTGTCGAGGACATCAAGCAGGAGGCAGTGTCGAAGAAGAAAGAGACACCCGGGGAGAAAAGTGATGATCCCTGGGCTGAGTACTACAAGTCGAACAAGCAGATGAGGCTTCCTTTCGGGGGTGGATACAACAACAATCCTGGTGGGCGTCCGGATGCTCCTCCTCCTCCTCCTGGTGGAAATGGACAAGGCGGTGCTCCTCTGGGACGTGAGGAACTTACTGAGGAAGACAAGAGGATGCTAATCGTTGGGGGATGGAGCCAAGACACGAAGAAGCAAGTCATAATTGAGGAAGGAAGTGAATTCCTGAAGAGGCCTGAGATTGTCGAGATGCTAGATCAGGACGAATTGCTGGTCTGGGGGCCCCGTCGCTCCTTTGGGGTGCTGAAGTTCAAGATCAGGGACAATGAGACCATGGCAGGGACGAGGGACAGAATGTGGAAGGTGATTCAGAATCTACGTGCTCAACCTCTACGTCTTCGCTCTACGGCTGCTGGTGGGGGCGAAGGTAAACCGATGTGGGCTTCCTTCACCAAGACCCGAGAGGCAAGGAAGCGTTCAGCCCATGGGTCGCTGATCCGCCGAGTTTGCACCGGCCTCGTCAGGGATGCGATGCTTCAGCGTGAAGCTCACAATCCTCAAGGGGCGGAAGAAGGATCGTATGACGTTGACTGGAACTCGGGGACAGTTTGGATGGGAGAGTGGAAAGTGGGGTCGAGTACGCACAGGCCTCCAAAGGGAGACAGTGTCAAACTCCTCTCGTCGGGGTGGGTCGACGTCATGGCCATGGCTCATGCGACAGGCGTGGTCTTCGACACTGCCCTTCGGGCGGTGGAGCTGGAACTATGAAAGTCCGGGAAGAGTTTCACCATAGACAGTCTGGGGCGACAGCTTGTGTCGCAACCTGGCGAACAACGTCAGACCGGGGTGCCTATGCTTGGGAAGCCCGATGATGCCACTCGAAGTGTTCGTCGTCGTTGTGCTTCCTGGAATGTTGGTGGACAAAGCTTGACCAAAGTTGACACTATTGGGGGAGATCTTGACATTCTCCTCTTGCAGGAGATGCCTCGCTCGGCTGAAGGCTGGGGCGAGGACACGACTGATTGCTTTGCATGGTTGTCTCATCAGAGTCCGGGACAATGGCGAGGAGTGGGGATTGGGATATCTCATGATCTATATGATAGCTGGACGGATCGGATTGCCTTCAACAAGGGGGCTGCATGGGTCGTTCGGCTACGCAACCATCGTCGTCTTATCTTGGGATCTCTGCATTTGCCGACTGGGGTGTCTACCGCGGTCTACCACAAGGCGGTGCAAGAGTTTCGTCGTGTTCTGGCGAAATGGCATCCTGATCTTCCATGCTGTGTCGGGGTGGATGTGAATGAGGTCGTCCTGTGGACCCATGCGGAAGAGGGTGAGGCCGATGGCAACATCCCGGTCTCGTCTGGGGCGAAGATTGACAAGTTCCTTGAAGCCGTGTCCACGGTCAACCTCAAGCTCTGCCCTCCCCGCTTTGAAGACAGGTGGAAGCCTACGCACTATCCAAGGGACGCCTCACGCAGTGGTCGCCACATTGATGCAGTGACATGCCGCCTCATTTCTTGCTCGCCGGTGACAGTCAACGAGGACGTGCGCTTCCACATCAACACCGACCATGCCAGAATGGACTTTGACATTGAGCTGCAGTGCACCAGATGGGGGCGATGGCGTGACACGAGGGCGAAGTGGGTCGACTGCGATCACCCTCTACCTGAACCTGGATCTTGGGAGGAAGTTCGTGAATGTGCTCGACGTCACACTGTCCCTCGGAAAAAGGGGCGCTACCGTGATACTCCGGAAGTTAAGGATGCTATCCAGTATGCTCGTGCTCAGCGGGGTGAAGATGCTAAGCAAGCATGGAAGAATGTACATGCTTTGAGAAGAAAACACAAGCGTCTCTGGCAAAGAAACCGGGTTACACGTGTTCTCAGTGGGGATTGGTTTGCCTATCGTGACATACAAGCCGAGAAGAAGAAGCGAAACTGGTGGGGAAAACTCTTAAGTGACAAGAGCTCCAATGACGTCGCAGGGGAGGTCGCCGCACAGCTTAAGAGTAAAGTTTGGGTCGACGATCTTGGTTGGGATGAACAACTGTCCAAAAGGATCGCGGCTGTCAGTTGCCCACCCGCTGACTACATGCCGGTGAATGTCGAGGAGGTGGGCTTCGCTCTTTCGAAAATGAAGGCGAGATCTGCTGTTGGGCCGGATGGGATTGGGGTCGACCTACTACGACGCATCTTCGATGAGCACCCACTACAGCTTTGTCGGTTACTGGATGAGGTTCTTGTTGCTGGGGAGCTGCCGCGCGACTGGGGCGACTCTGTCCTGGCCCTTCTTCCGAAAACCATCTGGCCTAAAACTGTCAAGGAGCTGCGTCCTATCGCCATGTCCTGTACCGGGATGAAGCTACTGTCGAAAGTTGTCATGGGGCGAAGCTTTCATCTTCTACGTGATCCTTCGCCATGGTCTGCATGTGGACATCATCGTAGCACTGCCGATCTCCATGGTTGTATGGGACGCCTGCGTGACATGTGCAGGGAGTGGAGACTGGGGGTGGTCGTCGCCAAGCTGGACGTGGAAGCTAGCCATCGCGGATTTCCTCGAGAAGCACCTTGCAGGTGAACATGTTCCCTTCGAATGGCGCTTCTTGCTTTTGGTTTTGCAGGAGAACACTCTCTTTGGGACGGCTCCGGGGGGCGGTGAAGTTCAAGTACGCTGCAATCGGGGGATTCGCCAAGGCTCTCCTGAATCGGCGGAACTGTTTGGCTTAATTGTCTCTGATGTCGTCAACAAGCTCAAGGCAGAAAAGCGTTGGCACGAACCCACGGGTACACTGTCTGATTTGCCTGCTGACGTTGGGACGTACCAGGACGACATCTTTGTCTGGACCAGCAACGCGTGCATCATGTCCAAAAATATCCAGAAACTCTCGGAAGAGCTGGGGAAGATTGGACTTCGTCTTGCCGCCTCTAAGACAACCATCATTGCAAGCAAGTACTACAAGGGGCGAAGAACAATTGCATTTGATGGGGCCAAAATCGACATCCTCCCACCAGGCCACAGCATACGCGTCTTGGGTCTTGACTATGACTTGGATGCATGCCAATCACAACAAGCACGAGAGCTACATGGTCGGGTATGGGCGGCTTTCCACGAGCACAAGGCACTGCTATGTGGGGCGGGATCCCTTGCGAACAAGTACCACCTGGTGCAGATGTTAGTCGAAGGCGTGTGGAGTTGGTCTGCTGGGGCGACACACTGGGAAACAACAGATCTTCAGATGATGAACAGCACTCAGCTTCGCGTGTTGAGGCTAGCCTTTGGGATCAAAAGGGGAGCTACAGAAGATTGGGTCAGCTACAATGCCCGGTCACTCAGGCAAGTTCGGCAGTGGATCGCTACTCAAGGGGCGGAGCGCTGGAGTAGCAAAATACTTCGGCTACAATACCAAGTAGCGGGGCATTGGATGCGCCAACGCGAGGGAGCTGTTCGGGGTCTCACGGCCAAGATGCAGTTGTGGAGAAGTTTGGAATGGTGGAACGGGGAGAAGGCCTCCTATGTAGGACGACGTCATCCGAAGCGATTCAGAGCCTCCAACTTGGAGCGTTCCCTTGCTGTTTGTCTCGGAGAGAAATGGTACCTTGCGTGTGAGTCGAGAGATGGTTGGAGACAGCTCATGAAGAAGTGGATCCTTGACATGGATCTACCTTGGTCACGGGGGCGTCAGTTGTGTTTGTGCGCTTGAGGGGCGTCTGCATGTACGTGTGAAGCGGACCATGCTGATGTGTTTCCTGCAGCCTCCTCAGTGTTCTTGACATGCAAGCACGTGATCAATCTCCTCTTTCAACCTTGCTGACGTCGTCTACCTTTACTTTGACAACCAAACAACCTTTGAGTTCTTTAATGGTGAATACATTTCTTGAGGACCCCAATTCGTAGATCGCCTTTTGCGACCATGGTGGCGCTGCTGCTGAAGGGACGTGTCGCCTTCATCTCCCTGCTGACGTTCATCCTCTACCTGAACAAGCATGTGGCTGGAGCGCCGGGACGGTCGTCACAATGGAACACCAATAGCAACAACTGGGTGAGAGAAGGGACGAATGGTGACTATGGTGGTCAGTGGGGAGCGAGCTCATCCAGCACGGCCCTTCCTAACACAGGGGAGGATCCTCGGCAACCTGGACGAGGTCAACGTGCACACCGACAACATGATTCGCGACTACCTGAAGCTGGCACAGAAGCACATGCACGCCAACGTTCACGACAACACGATCCCCCTGGTGCTGCACGTGACGATAATCGGGATGATGCCCTACCAAGAGGACAAGGTCAAGATGAACATCGACAACATGATCCCCGACTACCTGAAGCTCGCGCAGAACAACATGCACGCCATCGTTCACGACCACATGATTCTCCGGGTGCTGCACAAGATGATTGGGATGGACGTGCACCGCATTGGGACGATCAGCTGCAAGGACATCGCGCTCCTGATGGTGTACAAGAAAGGTCTACTGCAAGCTCGTCCAGTCAATGGTCCACAGATCCTTCTACCTGGGGGCCGCCGCCATGGGACGTACCAACGCGACGTGATGATCAAGGACAACGAGATCCTGGAGAACGCACTCAAACCACTGGATTCTACAGACATGGACAATGGGTCGGAAGAGAGCGAACCGCCGAGGAGCAACGCTTTCATACAGGCGGCCAGGGGACGGTCAGGCAGACAAAACGTCGGACAAGAATGGAACAGTGGGCTCGGGGCGTGTTCGTGCCAGCTTGGAGAAAACAGCAAGCAGCCCAACAAACCAACTTTGCTGAGATGCTCAACCGCCACCTACACCGGCCGCCCCCACCAGGACCACGTGAATGGGACGCAGACCCGCCAGATGCAGAGGAGGTGGACTGGATGGAGGACGTCTCTGAGGACCACACGTCGTGCTCCGCCTCAAGTCATGAAGATGACCGTTCTGAAGTACCCGAAGAACAAGAAAACGGGGGTGAGCAGTCCGAGGACGACGCACCCACAGTGCAGAGTTGGCCAAGGGATGATGAGCCACCGTCGCGCACTACCTGGACAAGTCAGGACTGGAAAGACTGGCAGGATGCAGCAGGGGATGATGATGAGGATGACAATGTCTTCATGCAGTTGGGGATGTCAGAGGAAGCTGAGCTTGAGAACCTGGGCATCTACGACCAGGGGCGACGAGAGCTTCGTAACCTCCTACGTACACTACATGACTTGGACGCGATGGAGGAAGGACCAGAGGGGCGTTGGGCGCTACGACAATGGATGGTGAGATGGAGGCATGTACTGGGGGTGTTGCAATCTGTCACGGAAATAGTGGAGCGACGCTTAGGCCCTAACCCAGCCTGTCATGTTCCTCTCTTTCGTGAACCGCGTGTAGCGGCACAACGTACAAGACTACTTGGCGTGGCTGGGCGAATTATGCGTGTCCTCTTGGGGGTGGCCGATGACCTACTGAGATACCATACCACCCGCCTTGCTCGTCTACCTGAAGGGGTGAGACTTCCGCCGCCTCCTCCCACAAATGCTCCTGGTCAGCCAGCGGAAGTCGTTCCTCAACTACCCGTACAAGCGCCTGACCAAACTGCACCTTTGCCGGAAGTGGGACGAGAAGTGAGGAACAATCGCGAACGTTCCCGTAGCCGAAGCAGAAGTTCACGTGGGGAGAATGTTTTGAACGAGCCTGAAGCCGAAGACAACCTTGACGTCATGAGCATGGTCCAAACCTTCCAGATGGATGAGTGGCAGGGGCTTGTAAATGAAGGAGTGGCTGGGGCGAACATCACCGCGGTGGACACCTTCTTGGGGCGGCTCGCAATGCAAGTGGGTGACCTGAACCAGCCAATGCATGTACGGGCGCAAAGCATGTGGAGCCTTATGGTACACACCCGCGCACTTCGTCACGGGGTGCGCATTCTCCTGGAGCTCATCAACATGCTTGAGAACCGGGAAGTGGCTGGTGGGGCGTATCTACCGAGTGATGACGCAGAACGTGGACGAGTGCTATACCCCTGTCGGGAACAAGGGGCGGTCATGGCCAATGTCTTCCTCCAAGCCTACAACGTTGCACTCGACGACGCATGGGTCAGACCGGATCTGTTGCCGCCGCGCTTTCGAGAACAACAACGTCCTCCTCGCCGACGACCTGACCGCGACAACCTCCTGCTACGACGCATGGAAGGACAGAGGGACGATGTCCAAGAAAACCTACGAGGGGGCGAAGAAGCCACAGGGGATGGGAGAGGCAGAGACAGAACGCCAAGGACCGCTTTTGCCAGGGAACAAAGAGAACGTGACGCTCTGCGAGAGGTGCCGGCGGGAAGTGGGGAAGCACCGTATACTGGGCCGCGGGACAGACTGGCGGCTGACAGCCTGGTTGAAGATGCTGGGGAGGAGTCAGCTGCTGAAGGGGAGGAAGAAAGTGGTCATGTCAGCGAGGATGAACCAACGGTCACTACGTCCATGGCGCCGTCAAGTTCAACTACATCCACGGCGCCCTCTTTTACAACGTCGTCGCAGTGCACTTCTACCACGGCCAGCTCCAGTACGTGCACGTTGGGTGGTACCACAATTGCACTGACGAGTCATGATGAAGAATGGGATGAGGATGAAGTCATGCTAGTCCAGATCTTTAACCACGTGGAAGGGGAGCAGCTTTTTGAGCATGGGGTGAACCGCGAGTGCATCTGTGAGTTGTCGCAGCTGCTGGACGAGATGGCCTCGGAGCACCCGACCACAGGGGATGGACGTGCACGAGATGCTGGTTGGACTCTTCGTGTCCTCCACTACGCTCTGGGGCGCGTGAACCGTGCCAATGAAGCGATCATGGAACTCCTCTTGGAAAGAGCCGCGGAGTGTGGGATGAGCCCAATGCCACATGAGGAGGGACGAGCACAGATGATGTGGCAAAGCAGTCGTCTTGGGATGTGCCTTCCTGGCCTTACTAGGCGCATTGTGGAGGAGGCCATGGAAGAAGCATGGCTACAACCTGATCTACTGCCGGGACCACTTCGTCAAGATCCTGTACCTGTTTCGGCGGTTCCTGATGGTGATCCTGCCACTCCTGGTCTTCCTTCGGTACTTCCTGCACCTGCTCAGCAACCACAAGATGAAGGGACGACCATGGTGGCAACTTCAGATGGTGAGATGGTTGGGACGGCAATGGTGACAACTTCAGATGGTGAATCCTCGAACGTGGGGCGGTCTGTGAACGTGACGGTGGGGATGACTACTTGCTCGTCGTCCTGTTCTACATCCTCTAGTTCGATGTCGGGTTCCTCCTCTGTGCCTCCTACTTGATTCCCCTTGTCTTTGGCTACAATATGGGGAGTGAGTGCAGAAGCTTTTACGAAGTGGGGCGTTTTTCTGAAGTGCTGTAACAAACAGTACTTGTTGGGAGCCAGCGCTGGCGGACAAGAGTCGAACCCAACCCTAAAAAAAAACTTCCAACTCCTAAGCCTTAAAACCCTAAATCCCACACTTCTAAACCCTGAACCCAACCTCCTGCGGCCCTCCCTTCAAAACAGGAGGAGGGGCATCCCCTGAACCCTAAAACCCTAAACCCTTCAAGAAAGGAGGAGCCCCTAAACCCTAAACCCTAAACCCTAAACCCTAAACCCTAAACAAAAAAGGTGGGCTTTGGGTTCTTAAGGCTTAGGCTGAGACTCTCCGGCTGCTCCTAAGATCCAGCGAGGCAGTCCCA